ACATCCGTCAGCAGATTCCTTTTCTGTAATTTTCCTAATCACCTAAGTTACCTAGGAGCTAGAGTTCAGAAGTCAAGTTTCACTAAAACTATTTAAGTCAATTATGAGGTATTAATCATTTTGACTGGTTTCTATTTAACTGGTAAGGAGAAAATGTGGCAGCGACTAGATGAATAGTGTCGTAGAAGTAAATGCAAGAAAATCAATTCATCCAATTTTGGTAAGCGTCATGAAGAATATAATGCCAGGGATTAGTTTGTGCATGTGTATGTGGGTATAGATGTATTGGCTTATTATTTTTTAAGTGTTTTCGAAAGGAATAGTTTTTCTTCCCAAAATTGTGGGTAAAAACAACCCACATCTTGTTATTCTATATAAACTTTGAACACTCATAGGATGATCTCTTTTTTTCAACCACAAATTTAGTAGTGGGTTGAACCTTGGAGAGAATCGTTTCCACAAAAAGAATATTTGAATGGTTTAAACTTTAAAGCTCAGATATTGAAATGAATTCTCATGTTGACTTATCCAATAATGCCTCTTTTTTATTTCAAAATTTCCTCCAGAATATGGGACCTTTCTTTGGAAAGAGATGAGGAAGAAGAAGCAGAGTTCAAAGCAAAAACCAAGGAGGAGGTGAATGCCCCTGCTGATTTGCCACCACAACTTCTCTTTGTCCATCAGGTTATTCTATACCTTTTCTCCCCTTGTGAATTATTATGACTGAAGAAGCGCATATAGTAGCTGCTCTTATTGCTCACTACCGTGTCTATCTGTATTGTGTGTTTAACAGGGTCAGAATGATTTGAAGGAACTTCACTGGCATTCCCAAATTCCTGGAATGATCTTATCCACAGCTGCTGATGGTTTTAACATCTTAATGCCATCAAACATAGAAAACATGCTCCCTCCAGCCAAGGATGCTTAAGTTAAAAACTCATGTTTGTTTTCTAAAGCTCAATTCTTGCTTCTTTGGTAGCATTTATGTTTTTCATGTCTAACAGTTATCTTTGTTGCCAAATCTTTTGCATAAATGTATTCGTGGGCTGTCAATTTTGTCCTACAGGTAGCTTCTAGTCGGCATTCTGAAAGCAAAACAACTAGTTTCTTTAGAGAGAGAAATATCACTTTGTGATCAATTTGTTTGAACAATGTGATTTATTTGTCTAGATATAATTGCAATGTTTGGATCTCAAGAATCTTATGAGTTGGTGTCCAAGAGATCAGGCTTAAATGTACATGAAAACTCGTTTTTATTACCTTGAAATATGGATGTACTCGGTCCAAGAACCAGTTGGGACCGGGGCTACCCGGTTTTTGAGTAGGGACCAGGGCTGCCCGGTTTTTGAATTGGGGCTAGGACCGCTCGGTTTTTGAACCAGGACCGGGAAAAAAGGTCAGGGCCGAGACTGGGCTGGTGGGAAAGAAGTCCCGGTCTTTAGACTGAGACCGGACCAGTTCCATCTTTTTGCTATGAAACCATTGGAAATCACTTCACAAGGGTTGAGGCTTCATTTAAAAGCCATGTTAACAAAAGAATAGACCAACAAAACTAACAAACACAAAGCAATTGACAGAACAAGCTGCTCTCAATCGACGTTTACAAACGAAACGCAGTGCAAATCGGAGAACCCGATCACAAAAATGAAGCTACAGTGACAAAAGACCTTACCTTTTGTTCTTACCAGTGCTCGTCATGCCGTGCCTTTCTTTAAGCTACGTCAAGCAAATATCATCTCCACGACGTGCCTTTTGCTCGGCGGCTGTAGGATCGCTAGGGGTTTCTCTTCCCAAGTCCCAACCTTGAGGCTTGAGAGCAGTTTTTAACAATTCACAATGAGCAATATTGACTAGTGTTAATAAGCTTACTTAAATTATACGGAGTATAACATCACAATTCCGAGAATACGTAGTAATTTTACTTGTTTGAATTAGGTATTTCACATGACATGCCTTGTCCTATGTTCTTCATTGAGAGTATAATTTTTGAATAACGAAATAAATAGTGAAATTACCTCAACTAAGAGTCTAAGACTCCTAGGAAGCCGTATTTCTAAATTATGACTAATTTAATGTCAAATTTCTTCTTTGCCCTCCAAGCATTTAAACTTTTCCCTCCTCATATATGAACTCTTTCTCTTCCCATGTAAACTCCTCTGTATATTTCATCTTCGTAAATATTTCACAGAAGTTGCTCCAAATCCATACACTCTCTACGATTACATCTTCTCTCTCTTTCCACTACTCATTAAATCTCATAGTTCTATCCATATTCAATTGAAAATTGTTATACCTTTTTACATTTTTTGTATTAACAAAGTGTAATAGATTTTGGTATTTTACTATTTTTTTACAACAAGAAACTTAATTTATATTAATCAAATCGGTCAATACATGACTAATAAAAGCAGGTGGAACAATAGACCAAAAGTGACAATCAGGCAGAGAACACGCGACCTGTGTCAAGCCATGAGCCGCCTTGTTCGCAGTCGTCTAACATATGAAAATGTAATATTTTTGAAATCTTGAACTCAAATCCTGAATGTCGACCGCTACCATACCAGCCGCAGAACAATGGCTCCACTCTGAATTTCCGATGTCGCATGGACTGAATCAGTCTCCACATCGATGGAGTCCCAACCTGTCTCATTGATCCCACTGAGAGCTTCACGGATGCCCACCAATTCAGCTTCCCAAACAGATAACCTACCATGCCAAGACTTCGCTGCTCGCGCAATGCACTCCCCATCCTTGTTACGAAGAATCCACCCAAGGCCGCATTGGGACGTTTGAACAGCTGCATCAACATTAAGCTTCACTCGACCCAAAGCTGGCCTCCTCCAAACAGATGGAACCTGCATAGCCTCTCCAGCTTTCGAAGCACCAGTCTATTGAGCAAACTCCCATTCTGCAATATAAAATTTAGAATTTAACAAGATTTGATTAGGGACTGCTGAACTCCATTCCACACCCTGTTGTTCCTAGCACACCACAAACCCCGGCGGCCCCAAATCAACTTGCGCAATTCTGCAATTCTTCCTCCTGTTTCGCTTGGAACTCTTGTCTAGCAACCTCTAAAAAATCATCTGCCACAAGGCTCGACCAGACCCACCCAACTCCACCCCATGCTTCCTTCGCCACCGGACATGAAGTGAAGAGATGAGATAGCGACTCAGCAGCACCATCGCATAACCCACACTCCAGCGCACAATCAACCCGACAACTTCTCAAATTCAATCTTTCCGGCAACAAACCATATCAACCCTACCAAAAGTTCTTAAATTTTGGGGGCAACTTCCATTTCCACATTGCACGAGTACCCATTCATGAGAATCTCAATTCCCCTGCATAGTTCTTTTGGCAGAAGAAAGACACTCATAGCATAATTCGGCATAGCTTGAATGACAAATTTAAGAAACACTTCTCTGTCTGCTCTTGACGGGAATCTATTATTCCAATTCTGAATTTGATTAACTATTCGTTGCCTCAAATAGGATAAAATAAATTTACCGTTCCTCTCCACCAATGCCGGTAGATCCCAATACCTCTCTTCGCCACTAGCCACACCCACCCCCAGTAGCTCAGAATTTTTGTATTTCACTTATTCTCTAAAATTATGGTAAATGTTGCCATTGGGTGGCCAAAGTCAAGTAATTATAATGATAGTGGTAGTGTATAAAGATAAAAAAAAAAAAAGCATGTTATACAAAACAAAAAAAATAAGGAAAGTATAAGGCAATAAATAGCTAACTACCATGAGTGCACTATGTTTCAAAAAAACAACATGAGTGCACTATGACTATAATACCATCAAGATGAACTATTTTCCAGTCTAAAAAAGAATTGGATCGGAACAATGTGTAGTCAAAACTAAAACAGTGATGAGAATCAAGACTAATTAAGCATCGTTAATACGACATTAAGATGAACCATCCTTTTTTACTCACAAGCATTCAAGCAAGTGGTGCATTTTGTTCTCCAAACTCAAAAATAAGAAAAGAAGGAAAAAACTAAAAAAAATTAAATGACCATGACTACTAACTACACGAAGACTACATCATTAATTGTTAGAACTTGAGGTTCCATCCTAAAAAGTCTTATATAGCGTCTTATTGTTTTTAGCTTTTTGGTGTGAGACAAATATTTTAACACGTCATCTCAGTCATAATCGGACTGGACAATATCAGAATGTATAAATGGGCCAAACAGACCCTTACCAATCTACTCTTAATCATGAGTGCAAAATAAATCGTCAAATCACAATCAGACTTGGCTCTTGATGTCATATCAAAAGTTGGGGTTCCTTACTAAAAGGTCAACCTGATAGGAGGAGTAGCTCAAACTCTTATATAGTGTCTTATTTTTATATAGTCTTCCGGTGTAGGACAAATATTTTGACATTAATATAAAGATAAAATGATTCTAGAACCTTCAATTTACTCATGTTAAGACCTAATAAGAAGAGCCTAACTATTCATGAAGTGTAGACTATGCCAATCAAATGTCAAGTTAAAATTCAATTTAGAAGTCAGATAAATAAATTATTGAAAATTCCCCAGTTTTATAACTTGTAGTTTTTTAAATAATTAATTTGACCAACTTCACGATTATGTTTTAATCTGAAATTTAATTTGGTGGAGATAGTTTACACTTTATAGAGAACATGCTCAAGAAATTTCATAAAAAAGTCGGATCTGGAAGCATTTCAAACTAAAGAAGTCTAAAAGGCCGTTTGGCAAAACTGTTTTTCGGCTTATTAGGCTTATCAGCCAACTTTTTCACCAAACACGTAACTTTTGCTTTTGCACCCTGAATTGTGTAATAGGCAGAAAATTAAGGTTGAAGTTACTTTTCTGGCTGTATTGACAGAAGTTACTGTAGATGATCATTTTAGCTATTCTTGTATATACTTTTTTTTTTCTTTATTTTATTAATAAAATATATTTTAAAAATAATTTTTTTTAAATCAGCAGAATCAATCATTGCAACCACTTCAGCAAGAACTCCATAAATTTCAGCAGAATCAGCCAAATCAGCCGATTTTCATGATGCCAAACAGGCTCTAAGAATTATACGTTTTAAACTAACTTTACATCAACATTGTCCTATCTATGTATACCATTACATATACAATAACACAAACATCATGAGTGATACCATCACTAATTATGATCTAACTATGGTATCTGTGTCCAACCATTCTTATTGTACACTATCCTATACCCACCATGTCTGTGAAGATTTTTTTGTCTATGAATACGATTCATAGACAAAATAATTTGCACAGACAATTGTCTATGAACGGGATTCACAGACAAAAATAAAACCTTGCACAAACATGATGGGGTACAAAAGTAAATATAAGGGTGAGTATAACCTTTTTTTTTTATCTGTGTCACATAAATCTTTCAGTTTTCCTCATTTGAGAGAAAATATTATTCCACCGGGAGAGATATCCGAGAATGGGACTTGAAGACTTGAAGCCATGCCACTCCAACGTGATTTTTACTACTCCGTATATCAACTCCACCTTTCACCACACTGCCTCTCTTCATTTTTCATCTTCTTCCTCTCAATTACCACAATTCAAACTCTCCGATCATCCCTAACCAATGGCCTCATCTTCCGAACCCTTCTTCTCCTTCATCAGCGCTTTCACCTTCACAGCAAGAAGATTTTCAGCTTCCGCTGCCGGTTCAGCTACTAAATCGGCGGCAGCGACGTCCGAGAAGGCGAGAACCCCCCAAAACCGGGAGGAAATCGAAATCCAGAGGAGGACTCACATTTCCGTCGAGCGGAACCGCCGGAAACAGATGAATGAGTTCCTGGCGGTCCTCCGGGGGCTTTTGCCGGAATCGTATGTCCAAAGGGTCTCTCTCTGCTTTTTATGCACTTTCTCCGGCGTTTTTTGTGAGAATTTGAGTTTGCATTTCACATTTTCATATCAATCTGAGCTTCTAGCCTTCTACCTCATTTGAGAAATTATATTATCTGCGACCAAACGTAAATTAGCTATGTATAGTTTGGTAATTAGAGTGCAAAATCATAATTAAAAAAAATATTAATTCAAATTCCTCTATTTTCATTCCAAAATTTTCAAACTTCTAGAAAGCTCAACCTAAATTTACTTGTTTGTTTCTCAAATTCGGAAGGCATTTGGGAGTCGATAAACATAAGTAATTTTACGAAGGCAAATCATATTATCATTATTATGCATTTACATCCTTTTTCTGAGTATGTTTGTGTATTTTATTTAAGGGAAAACTGTCAAATATGTTCTCGAACTTTCATAAAAGGTCCATTAAGTCCTTCTATAGGAGGTTTTGTCCGGCCGTGGCGATTTGGGGCAGTTCCCGGTGGAATTTTTTAATCAAATTTTTTAAGCATCTTATTCAAAGTCTAGTTTACTCATACCAAATTTCAGCTAAAAATTCAATCGAGAACACATTCAAATTAATTCTTGAAGATAACTGCGCATTTTTGTGTTCTCGAATTAATTTGAATGCGCTCTCGATTAAATTTTTAGCTGAAATTTGGTATGAGTAAACTAGACTTGATAAATAAGATGCTCAAAAAATTTCATCAAAAAATTCCACCGGGAACTATCCCAAATCGCGACGACCGGACAGAGTCTCCTATAGAAGGACTTAATTGACTTTTTTATGAAAGTTCGAGGACCTATTTGACAGTTGTCCCTTTTATTTAATCTTCTTTTTTTGAAAGGAAAACTAGCATATATATTAATTCAGAATTCACAATACAACCAGAAGAATTTGCCAACAAACAACGTAAACACCTGACATTACCCTCCAACCAACCATAACCAAAAGCCCCCGGCCCCCTCACTTGTTTATCAGACATAGAGTAGTCCACCCCTAAAGAAGTGAGACTAATCGTTGAAAATGTGAGAGCTTTGAGGATATTAGCGGCTGAATCAGCCTGATTGCCTCTCATCAGAAATCTAAAAACTACAGTATCCCAAACTAAGAAACTACCACACTTATTATTTGACCTAACAGAAACAAAATAAAAAGTACCCAACAGAATATAACAGAAATAAATAAATATAAGCTGCACCGCCAATTTCGAAGCCCTAGTCTCGTGATTCCTCTGTGGCGGCGGTTCTAGAGGGGGACGAATCACACGCCTACCATCTTCTGCTTTCACCGCCTAAGATGGCCAAAAAACCCGCTCCGATCCCCCAACAGCTACCTGGATCCCAGCTTCACCTCTTTGACCTGACTCCTAACCCTCTAGCGCTCCACCCAGATCAAACACAAACGATGTAACTCCCATTTCAGCCACTGCCAGAACCAAAATAGCCAAGCCCATCATTTGAATCTTGGGTCTCACCACCCTATTTGCTTCAGATCTACTTTGAAAGTACTGAATTTCATTTACGTCCCTCTCTATCGCGCAACTGCTCTTGGCATCTTCCTTGTTCGGTAAAGCCACAGTATTTGTTGATCGCAGCACTCCTCGGCCGTCCCACTAACTCGCAGAGACAAAACTCCGTCAATGGTCTGCAATAAACTTCCAAACACAAAACCCAAGAATCGTGCAATGCACTCCAGCCGAGATCCTGCTAGCGAAAACCCGGGACACTCTCGTCGTGAGACTCACAGCGCCGCCCGCCACAACTCCAAAGACAGTGGCCTAAACCCTAGCTGCGCCCATCTGGAGAGAATCGATTAGTTTTCTTGGCAAGAAAATTTTTGTTTAATCTTCTCTTTGAATGAAGTTTTATTTAAGGCATTTTCATTCAAACTGTTTTTAGTTACCTAGATGAAAGCAAACCATATTGAATCATTTTTATCACACTTAAATAGATCGTTTCAGATAAGAGTAAGACCGGGACTAGATTCACATAGAATAAAGCCTCACACCAATGGTGAGCTAAGTGGTTGGATATATCATATATGTAGTCTTATCTTTGTATTAAAGCACATAATAATTACTTTTGATTGGACATGATGAAAATTGCATCAACAATTGTATGAAGTAACTTTTGAAACAGTCCAGAACAAATTAAACCACAATTGAACTTTCAATTTATGTCATTTATATGATTTGAATAGAAGTAAGAGTACTATAGACATAATTAACACCTCACCCAATGGCGATATATATGACACACTCTTAATATTTTAGGCAAATAAAAAGTGCTTAAAAAGTCAAAAGATGATCAAAAGTGGCAAAAAGTATGAATGAATATAATAACCACATGTTATTGAAATACTCCGCATAATGGATTGGATTGGATTGGGCAGCAGGTTGATCAATGCTCAATTATTGGCGGGGCAATTAACTATGTGAAAGAGCTTGAACAGCAACTGCAATGCCTCACGGCCTCACGGGATTAAAGCATCAATTTAATATTACTTTCGTTCCGAAAAGGTTGGCCAAAGTTGACTTTCATATAGATTAATAAAATAAAAACTATATAGTTGAAATTTGTGCAGAGAAAAAAAGAATTAATTTTAGCCACATATTCCTTACTTTAAATGGAAATGACAAATCTTTTTGGGACATCCAAAAAAAGGAAATTTGGCCAACCTTTTCGGGACAAGGGAGTGATAAACATCACCATCAAGAAACAGCAGCACTAGAATCTTCTTCGCCGCCGTCATTTGCGGCGGCGGCCTTTGCTGAATTCTTCTATGGCCCACAGTACACCGCCTCCGGCGGCTCTATCACCGGGAATCTTGAAGAAAAATGAGGGTGATGAATAATGAGAATTCAAATGATGATGTGAATTGAATAACCATTTTGTTCAGAGTTCGATCACCGCCTGGCAACGGCTGGAGCGGCTGACATAGATGTTACAATGGTGGAAAACCATGTCAACCTTAAAGTCCGGTGGGAAAGGCAGCAGCGGTCTAATCGGCTTCTGCCGAGCATGATCTCGGGGCTCGAAAGCCGTCTTAGGCTCACAGTGCTTCATCTTAATGTCACCACGGCAGCTGGCTGGATCCGGAGCCTCTACCTTACTTTAGAGTAAGGTAGAGTGCCTTGCTTCCTCCCGGTCGTCCGAACGACAATTCACCGGTTGGAGATCTTGGGCTCCACTTTTTCGCCAATCTCGAGGACGTGTTGGCCGCTCCCCTCCCGTCCGATGTGCAAGGCACCCTCCTAGTCGGTATAGGATCCCAATCCCAGCTGGCTATGTTCTTGCTTCTCTTAATCTCAAGGTTAGTTTTGCAGCACTTACTATATATTTTCAGTTTTCAAGTTTTCAATTATCTGTGAATTAAAATATCCAAGTAGTAGCTCTATATTATGAATCAATTGGTGAGTAAGTTATACTCTTTCTATCACAGTTTGGACATCTCAATTAAAAGTTGTCATTTTTTTTTATCTATTTTAAAAAATACGGAGTAATTGGCAACCTTTAATGATAATCTAATAGATCATCAAATATTAAAAATAATACGTGTGTAGTGCATTTATAACATAATTATCATCACGAGTGAGCTCATTATATATATATTATATACCAATAAAAAATATTTTTCAAAATATATAAAATTATCTTATTTAATTATTGTCTAAATAATAGTGTCATTTTATTATGCAAATCTTACGCCGAGATGAAGATAAGTAATTGTATTGAAATTAAACAAGAATAAAGCATCATTTGTTAAATAACTTGTCATAGTAAAAGTTAGAAGTTCAGGGCTAGAACAACTTGTACTAAAAAAATTATGTGTGTGAGAATTGAAGCTTGTGCTATAGAAGTTTAGAACAATGTGGGTTAGAGCTAGAATTGCATGGAAAATAGAAATAAATCTTTCGTATTTTAGAAATTATGTTAGTGCACACTATGATTCAGAAATTTAGATTAACTTGTGTTTATTATTTATGTCCTATAGACAATTATTATTTAGAGATATATCTACTTGGTATCATTATATTTTTTTTATTTGAAATTTATGGCGTTTATCATTTATGATGATTGATGGTTTCGATTAGCAATACGAAGTATATTATTTATACGTGTGTTATCTTGGGCTTACGTTATCACCAACTATGGGAGATGCTCAGATGTAATAAGGCTCTAGAATGGCCTCAATCAATAATCATCGAGAATGAGATATCAGTTATGTTTGAGAAAGTTAAATTTTTGGAAAGTGTATTTGATATCATAAATATGAATCCTAAAAATTCATGATAGTCACATAAATATTTTGAAGAATATTGATATTTCTGAGTTATCATTTGGTATGTTCTATTTGTGTGTCTATAGAATTATATTTGTAGGGTAGTGCAATAATGTTCCGACTTGAAGTTATCGTCCACTTCCCGTTTGAGTGATATCATTGGATCATGATCAACATTTTCACTCCACTCAAGTTAGATATAGCAAGTTTTTAAGTTCATCATGAAGTACATGGAAATATAATAGTTGAACCAAGAAAAAATCATTCATCATATATAACAGTCTCATATCTACATTGCTCATAAAGGCATTGACCAATCCTTCAAAAAAAGGCATTGACCAATAAAGATATATTCTTTTTAAATTTCGAGCATGAACAGATCAACAAGAAAGAATAAGAAACTATGTCTAAGTAATTATAATAAACATTCTAGCCCAGCTGGTTGTGAGATTATCGTGTCTAGCTAGCGAGAGGTCTCGAATTCGAAACCCTCTAAGAACATAAGGGTTAGGAACTCAATGAAGTAAGTTTCAGACTTGATTACTCAATGCTCCCCCCAGACCCCCTTCCCCAGACCCCTGGAGTAAAAAAATAGAATAGACATTATATACAAAAATGTTTGTGAATGAACAGAATGTACCACTATGAGCTTTATATTATAGACATATTGTATAGCCCTCATAAACATTCTTATATACTATCGTATTAAGTTTGTCCGGTAAAAAACTAATTTTATTAGTGCTTAATATGTAAGTTTCATTGGTGACACAACAAGTGATTATACCTTCACAGTTGGACTCTTAAAATGAATGAAATATTAATTCGATTAAAT